TGACCCACTTATTAGAATTCTCATTGAGGAAGAGTTTTATGTAAACAAAACCTGACTGTCCCCCAGCACCTGGGGGCCCATAGAAACGATCATAAAGGCTGGAAAACACTTCACAACCCTGAGAGAGTCAATGAACATCAGCACACACGGATGACCACACGGAGCTGAGACCGGCCCACAGTCGGCTTATCCCACTGAACATCCAATGAAAAACCTTAATGAGACAAATATCAGCTGGATTATAACTATGTTCATTATATTATGTAAATCAGTTTGGTTGAGAAAAACGTTATATCCCTTACTTTGTATAAATTGCCAATGTAAGTATAAACATAAAATAGGGTGGCTATTAAAAGAAAATGACCCTGATATTAAAGGTTTCTTTGATGATTCCCAAACAGTCTCCGGAATCTTCACGAGCTCTCGGGGACTGGGGCAGACGCACAGCACAGAGAGCAGGTGGCTAGAGTACAAGAGTGATTACCAGGCTGTGTACAGCCCCGGTCCTGCTCTGTTCACCCTTCCCCATCACGTCTGTCCTGACTCTTCCTCCTGGGCTTGCTTCTGTCATATGGGAAACATACAGAATACATCTGTATGCACTATGGCCCCAGGCTGAACACCCATTCAAACCCTTCCGATGGGATTTCAGCCCTTGCTCTCAGCAGACATTTAACTCCTGCAGAGAACATATGCCATCTGCTGGTCCCCACAGCCTCCCACCTGGTGACAGAACCTGACGTCACTGACAACGTCCCTCAACAGCCCTGACACTGAACATGCCTGCAACTCTCCTGGCTCCATTTTTATGCCTAATAGTAAAATCCCAGCATTTCTCAAGTATATCGTTCTTACCTTCTCCTACTGGTGGAAGCAAAGCATTTGAGGTGAGACAACCCTTAGTTTAAACCCAGGCATCGCCACTTACTAGCTATGGGCCACGACCACATTAGTCTATCACCCTTCAGCTGTCTCACATGTATAATAAAGGGATAACATATGTCACAAGAATTTTGTACATGCATAGAAATACTATTACACATATATGCAATGGAAATTGTATATATTTTAATATACTTTAAGCATGTGTGTATACATACACACATATTAAACACCAGGGTTATTTAAGATGAACACCCAATATAGCGAGTCAAAAGCACTGGATATAATGAGCATCCAATCAATACCCTCACGTGTCCACCTCATGCCTATTTACACTACACTCTCTCCCACTAAACTCTCTCACAAGGCTGGGCCCACGCCTCCAACTGTCTGCCAGACATCAGACTCCAACAACCATCTGGCTTCCTAGAAAGTGAGCTCATCTCACTCCTGCCCATTTTCTTCTTTCCTGTCATTAATGGCACCAACACTGCGCCGGGTCAGAGTCCTCAGCATCATTTTGAACACTGCCCTCTGATATGTCCCACAAATCCACCTCACAAAATGATGCTCTCCAGCCTGTAACTCCCCGTTCTCTTGGTCTTTTTATTTCTACTTTCGACTGCAAACTTTGCTGCCAAATTAAACATCCTGAAATAGTCTACTCAAAAACCACGACAAGCCCTGCTACCTGTACAATTAAACCCAAGAGTCCTTCGGCGGCACTCCCAACCTCCCTACACCTGGCCCCAACTTCCAGTCTCATCCCAGCTCGCTCACCTGGGCTGCAGCAGGAGCTGCACTCGCAGAACAGACAGCCCCTCTGTGTTTTCTTGATTACATGACCCCCCACATCTGAAATGTCCTCCTCAAATATCCCCGCCTGTTCGGACGCCATTCTGAAACCAATGCAAACCACCATTCAGGACACGTTCCCAGTGCCCAACAGCTGATGCACTAGCTCTCAAGCAGCGGTCCCCAACCTTTTTGGCACTAGGGACTGGTTTTGTGGAAGACAATTTTTTGACAGACAGGGAGGGGAGGATGGTTTCAGGATGATTAGAGCACATTACATTCATGCTCACCTCCTGCTGCGCAGCCTGGTTCCGAACAGGCCATGAACGGTGTGGCCCAGAGGCTGGGGACTCCTGTGTCTAATGTCCAACTGGCCGCTTCTCTTTCTAACAGCCCTTATTCTCTCCCATGTCCTGAAGTTATTGTTGGACATTTCTTCTTTCCCCTACTGGCCTCACAGACTCCCATCCCCCAAATCTCATACCATGTCTGACTCAAAGCAGACATTGTACTGAGTGAACACATGACCTATATACTTTGAGACCAAAATGTATGCAAAAATCACAAATTCCAAGGCACAGGCCCAACCTGAAAATCCCTAGGAATTTCACAGCACCCTTTCCCACCTGGGAAATGCAATTTTCTGGTTTGCAAATGAAGAAGGGCCTTGATAATGTTTTTGGCCCATGAACACTTCTTTTGAAACAACATCATAATGTATGATGTGGAAATGAAGCCAAAACATATGGATTACGTTTCCTACAAAGTACATATGGATTTTATGAAAACGGCAGAGAGGCGAGGATAAAATGTGATCTCCAAAGCAGATTCACTAGGGGTCTTGTTCTAACTCCAAAGTGAAGCCAAAGCTTTCTTGCTTTGATTATATATGGAAAGTTTCTTCTTCTGCTTTAGTGACTGTCCCAGTTCGTCAAGATTTTTCACATTCCTAGGACAGAAATATAAGTCACGGAGGACAAGAACACATCTCTTCTTTCATCTATCACTATCTTTCCCTCCCAGACACCACCTGGGTCCCTTCATTCCCTTTCTCGTTTCCCCTCCTTCCTGAGTTAGAGTATTTTCCTTCCTCACAAGACCACAGCTTTTAACCTCCCCTCTTCTTACTTCCTTTCCCTCTTTCTTTTCTTTCTCAACTATACACTAAAGGATCTCGATCCCTCCCACACCATGGTCAAGTCTTTGGGTGGCAACTGTGCATGTGTTGTCAAGCAAGCCTGTGGCTCCTGTGGGTACAGACGTCCATATGAAGTTTTCCTGCGAAACCACCCTTGTCAGCAGAAATATGATTCCTCGTCACAGATCCTGGACCAAGAACTGGGAAGTGAGAATGAAAGCAGACAAGGATGAAACTGGAGAAGAAAGAAGATGTTATGGGGAAACACTCTCAGAAATGGTAACTGATCCAAGCTCACGGCTCCCTCGCCCTGCTAAGCAACCCTGTGGTTTCTCCACTAAACCCAGGCAATCGGTGAAGAATCTGAAACTCAGCACTGACCCATCCCCCTTCTTGGTAGAAAACTTCGGAGCTTACATCGGTGTGCTTTCCTAGCATGACCAGCCTGGCCACGGAAAGAGAGAGAGGTGAAACAGAAAGCCCTGTCTCCACCTTGCTCCACAAAGTTTGATCTCTGAGAAGGGGTCCAGTTTCATCGGCTGTGAACCATTATGGTTGGCTCATCAACGCCACTTGGAAATTCATTTGTTAATAGGGTGGAAGCTGCCCTACCTACTTCCCAGCAGAAAAATCACGTACTTACCTTCCCAGCTTCAAATAAGAACGCAGGAAGCCACAGCACTAAACGGAAATCCTTTTATGTGAGAGCAAGACCCAGAGCCGGTGTTTTTACCAATGACCCGGATAAAAGTGTCCTAATCGGGAGTTAACCTAATCACAGCTGCATTTACTAAACAGCGTTGCAAAGCTCGTAGTCTAACAATTATTTATTTTTCAAAAAGTGAATAGTAGCCGCCAAGCTCTCTGGATAGCTTCGTGCACACTAATGAAGCTTACGGACAGCGTAACGGGGCCGTAAAAGGCACAGATCCACCATCACCTACTGAAAACTAAGAAACAAAAAATGCCCCACAAACTTCATACACCCATAAACACGTTGCTTTCACTAGGCTGGGAAAGAACATCTCTGACCAGGTTCACGTTTTCTCATTGGGAAAAATACTCAAACGAGCTAGAACTGTCCTAGCAAACAGCAAACGCAGCCAGGACCCGAGAAATGCTCCCGCAGTGCTGTGCTCCAAAGGACTGTCCCCGTGTGACTGTCTCTTTCCCACTCTTTTGACCCCCTCAAGATGAACTGAGTTCATTGGTCCATCCAATAAATATTAACTGAGCACCAGACATGGACCAGGTTTTATTCTAAATTTACAAAAAAGATCTCTGCCCTCAAGGATCTAGCAGGGAGAAGTAGCTAACAGCTAAGGAAATAAGTGAGTGAATTATACAGTACGTTGGATGGCAGCAATGCGAGAGGACACAAGCCCCCAAACAGACTTCCAACTCCCAGACTGGGGCCTGCTTTCTATCAAGGGCTATAATGTTCACCTTCACATCCCAGCACCTAATACACACTTGGGATATAATGCAATCCCACTTTTTCAAAAAACTTTTCAACAACAAATAAGTAACCAAGAGTCTGAACAGTTTTCAAATTCCCTCTCTCAGAGGAAAAATGATTATCAAGGCCCTGACCTGTAACTGGCAGAATGAGAAAAAGAAGTCTAAAAGCCCTCGAAAGAATCCATTGTATTTTGAAAAACCATGTCGACCCTTTGATTCCAAAGAAACAAGTCACAAGATGTGTCACCTAAGAGATTATTCCGTTCCAATCAGAGACTCTTAACCTGGGGTCTCCAGATTCACGGGGTAGATGGGAAATGACCTGAGGTTTTCTGGGAAGAATGTGACACCGACTGACAAAAATATTTTCCCTGTGTCACAGAAATAGAATCTGAGTTAGAAATCCAAGGACAGAAATGAAGGCAGGGGGGAAAGAAAGAAAACAGTTCACAACCCCATAGTCAATATTCCTTTGCATCTGGATTAAGTATTTCTTCCTCACGCCAGAGATATAACAGAAGCCAGGCGGAGCTCCATTATGAAGCTCTATCAGAAGATAGAAGCTCGATACGAATTTCTCAAAAGCAAGCTCATCATTGTGATAAATCAGTTTATTTCAATAAACTGATTTCAAAAAGAGAAAGAAGGAAATAATTTTACATCACGAGGTGACAAGCCAAATACAGCAATTCCTTTAAGAAAAAAAAATAATGCACAGCTTTACCTTTTCATGATTTTCGATTAAGATTTCCACGACGATGTTCTGAAACTTCAGATCCATGATGGCAGCAACAGTTTCCTCCTGCGGCCTCATCAGAGTTGGTCCAAACACCACTCCTAGATTCGCCACGGTCATCAGGTTCTGCTTGGAGTGGTTTGATACACTAACGTTGATGTGGGGGGTGGGGGGAAAGAAAGGTCTCTGGTTAAAAGATGAGCAAAAACCGTGGAATGTAGAGGATTCTGCAACCCTCCATTTCCCTAAAAACCAGGACTCAGTTGCCCTCACTGTCTGCAAATGACTGGATCCGACAAGACCGTACATAGTGAGGCCCCTGCCTGCCGTTCTGCTTCTCTCTCGGATGCTCTCTGCCCAAGCCACAGCGGCTGTCTTCGTAATTCCACGTATACACTACGCTTGTGTCCCTCAAAGGCCTTCATTTACTACTGCCCTCTACTCAGAACATTCCCTCCTTCCCCAGGTCACTGTGCTCTTGCTTCCAAGGACTACGAGACTTAGAAGAATTACCTTCACAAGCACAAAAACCGTGGTCAGGGCACCCACGTTCACCCCTTGGGCCAGTGAACATCCTGGACAACTGTTCTCAGCAACTCAAAGGTCTCGTCCGCATAGAGATTCTCCACAGCAACCCTCCCTGTAGCCCCACCCTCGGCGTGTACCCTCCATCTCCACACCCTGCTGTGCCTCAGCCACTTCTCACCTGAAATTATATTTCTGTCTGTTTTCTGTTTATTATCTTTTCCCCTTCGAAAGATGGGACTTCCTGGAAGTATCTTATTCAATTCTGTATCTACTAGCATGTAAAAAAGGCATTCGATAACTATTTGTTGACCAATGAATGAATGGAGACACCAGCATGAGGACCCTTGTCAGGGCAAGGGTCTTCTGGCCTTCCTGTTGCTTATCATGTAAAATAAAGGCTCAAAAACATAGTGCTCCTCAGCTTCCTCTAGCTTCAAAAACTCTATAATTACTGTAATCGAGGAGTCATATATTTGAAGAAAGGGCTAATTTCTCTACTGGATTATTAGATTTCGCTTGCTTTTTAAAGAGGAAATAAAAGGATTAGAACGGGTCTTATGAAATAACTACCTATTACTGATTAAACAAATTTTCAAGGACATTTTCAAACTTAGAGTTAGGCAGGTGTGAAACCGAGCTAAATTTGCTAACAGACTTATAATCCCATTGCCAGAATTTGTGTACAGGGAAGTGTATAATACTTTCTTCTCTTACTTCGAATAAAACCCCAAGCTGCTGGCACTGATGTTAAGCAAATAATTACACGGCTTCACGAAAGCATTGTATTTCAACAGTCTCGTCCAAAACACACACAGTGAGTCAGATGTCCAGGCTGCCCTTCCAGGTGTGGTCCCTGGTATTGTGTGTACAGCCCAAATTTCAACCGTTACAAACCCAAGAACACCACGCAACACCCAGAGCAAGACCAGGGCAGGCAGGCAGGGAGAGAGGCTTACTTGGTTAAGTGTTTCACCAAAATATCCAACATTTCTTTATTTTTTTCTGGCAACTTGTGTACCAAGAAATGGATAGCATTCACACGAGACTCTGGGCTCCCACTTTCTTTAAAAAAGAAAAAGAACAGTTAGGAGAGTATTCAGAATCAAATATATTCCTAAAAAATCACCAAATACAGTATCTCATCTGTTCAACCTCTGCAGGGAATTTAAACATGGTTTGCCACCTTTCAAAGGAAAAGAAAATCCATCCCTCTCCCTAGTCTGAATCTCTGCACGCCCCCCATGAGGGCTTTCCATGGGGCTGGGGTTCATGCCTTTCACGCACCACGGATACCAAACAAGAGCCAGACCGTCTCTCCTCTGGCACACTGCGCTTCCACTGTGCTCACCACGCACTAGCATGGGGCTTGTCCCCACTGGGTCACTGCCCCACAATGGAAGGCAAACACAGTATCAGCAAATAAACTCTTCCCCCGCAAAGAGTTGCTGACATCCTAGCCCCCCGTATCTCAGAGTGTGACTGTTTTAAAACATACCCGGGATTTGTGCTAATCAGGTATTATGGTGAGACGTGCAGGCATGAAAAAACTACCACAAAGGAAGAAGTTTATCCCCATAGATTCCGAGGAAAAGGAGGCGTGTCGTGCCATGCTGGGCCAGTCCAGAGGCAGAGGGAACACAGGGAAATGCAGACGAGAAGCTTTTTTGTGGTCTCTATGTGCAGGAACACGAGAGGTAGAGAGAGCAGGCTTTGGACTGGTCTGAATTCCTTCAGGGGCTCTGGGGCACAGGGGCTGTCCTCAGGTGTCTGGTACCTGGCCCTGGGTGATTAGGGCAGAACGTATAAGAGCCCAAAAGAGGGGCGTGGGGTGGTCTCTAGATTGGCTGGATGGGACATGGAAAGCACACTCAAGCTTACTTACCTCCCGGTAAGCCCCGGGAGGTTAGTCTCTCAGGATCAGTAAAGCCCCAGATGTTAAAACATCAACAAAAAAAGACACACTTAACACAGTGATTTCATTTGGGAATACAGTCCTTGCACAGATACCATCAGTTAAGAGGAGATCATACTGGAGACACATATTAGGATGTTCACGGAAGTGGCACTCTTGACAAGAGTCCAAAGCTGAAACCACCCAGGTATCCATGGACAGTGGAACAGGTAAATAGATGGTGGTGTATTCATACAATGGAATACTGTGTGACAACAGTGAAGGAACTGCTGAGCCACTCAACACGGATGAATCTCACAAGATAAGCAAAGGAAGCCAGATGCAAAAGACTATCTTCTGTTAGGTTCCATTTACGCAAGGTTCACATGGGGCGGCCCTGCTTATGTCGTCAGAAGTTGGGTAAGCATGCACATGACATCGGGTGGACAGTGGACCGGTGGCTATGAGACAGAGGCCCCAGGGCTCAGACAACATAGCAGTTCTTGACCTGGGTGCTGATCACGAATGTCCAGCAAGCTGTACACTTATTATCTGTGCACATTTCTATTCTATGTCAACAAAAAGTTCACTGAAATTAAAACTGCCCATAACCAATCTCACCCTAAGGTAAGCTAAAAGTAAATTCAAGTTTAATCCTTTGAGTTTTCCTCCCTTTTTTTGTGATGAGATGTTCAAACAGCCTATTTCATTTCATTTCATTTATTATGGACGTTCCTCCATGTCATTAAATGGCACACCACATCATCAACTTTATGATCAGTTAGGTTGCTTTCAGTGTTTTATAAGATTGAGTTTTCTCCAGGTTACCCTTCCATAGTAGTGTTTTAAGAGTGGGGAATGGGATTTTACAACACAGGACACGGTTGTGGCTAAAGAAAAAAAAAAGCAAAATGGCTAAGAAATGAAAAGGAACATGATAAAGCAGAACATGAATAACCAAATCACACTAAATAATGACAGACTCGTAGATACAGACTACATTGGACACTGGAAATATAAGTGCAACTATCTAAAGAGAGGGTGATAAACCATCATCAAGTTTTTAATCTGGGGTTAAAACCAAGATCTTACTAAATCAAAGCTGGAGAAAAATAAAAGCAAAACTATATTAGCATTTTCAATTCACAACTTTCATTTTTTCTTACTTCTTATTGAGTTTATTGGGATTACACTGGTTAATAAAAGTACATAGGGCTTCAGATGTACAATTCTATAATACAGCATATATTATATTATATTATATTATATTATATTATATTATATTATATTATATTATATTGTATTGCGTGTTCACCACCCCAAGTCAAGTCTCCTTCCATCACCATTTATGCCCCTCATACCCTCTTCTACTCGCAGCTTTAATTTTAAAATTAAAGCAGGGACTCCAGAAAAGTCTAAAGTTCCAAGGGAATATAAGGATAACTGCTCATAAGAATTCTGTACATTCAAAATTAAACAGTATTAAAAACTCTGCACTAAAAAGCTCCTTCTAACTCACGTGTCTATCTTGTCACTAATAATCATCTTTCCCCGATGAAAACCTATTTTAGTATTTTTGGATTTATGACTTATTCAGAAACACAAGATAGAGAAATTGTTTTACTTCCTCTGAAGGGTCTTCATTTCTAAAAATAGAATTGGTTTCGAAAAAGAGAGTCCAAACCTCCCACTGAGTTTTTCTCTCTCTCCAATCACATCTCACTGAAATCACACGCACTTTTTCCTCCAAGTCTGCTTTCTCCTTCTTTTTCCAAAAAGAAAGATTTTTAGAAATAAGGCTCTTAAAGAAAAACTACTTTTTTTCTCCATTTCTTTTTATTTTTACATTCAACAGCGCTTTCTATTAATGGGCATTTCCATGTGGCTATAACATGGGAATAACTTTAAGATACTCAAAAAAAGTTTTCTAAAGTAAATGAATTATCTTCAGTTTTAATCTACATAACTGACAAAAAATGAAAGGCATAACTTTTTTAAAATCTAGGACACTGAATTAAATAACCGTACCATCAAATTCCTGGCATATGCCAAGGAATTGGGAGTTTACTATAAGAGCAAATGCATTTGTAACCATGTAACTGTACATCAGCATCCCCACCACTTAATGTCTATCTGTGTATGACACTGTGCCAACTAACGGAGACTGAGCAAGACAGGCTCATGCTTCCATGTATCAAAGATACATGAGCAGATAAATGTTAAATTATCTCAATATTTAAATGCTATATGTCAATAGCACTCACTTCCCAGGGGACAAGGGGCTTCTTCAGTCAACAGACACCTAGTATTCCGGTTCTTCTGTGGAAGATTCTATCTCCTTCGAAATGAGTGCATCAGGCTAAGATAGCTTGAAGCCATTAAGCATTCAATTCTTTTAGTTTCCGGTTTTCCTAGTCCTTCCCCACCAAGACCCTATCATTTTGTCTTGCTTTCCATGCATATTTACCAATGAGAACAGAACATTCTGGGTAGGCAAAAATCAGTGCCCTGGATCCTACAATAGTTAATAGTTTTCATTATAAATGACTGAAGGCGCTTGAGAATATGATTTTGCTTCCCATGTACCTTGACCCGAGCACACCAACACAAGTGTTCTGCTCTACGGGACTGAACTTCCCTGTGTGATGACATAGTAGGCGCGCAGCTTTAGCGGTCATTCTCAAACTAAATTTAACTTCAGTCCAATCCTGACAAGTCCACTTCTCACCAATATGATATATCAAGAAATGTGAGCCTGTGAGGCTAAGACACAGGCTCAAAGTCCTCAAAGGTGATAAACACCTTCTGCACATCCAGGTAGATGCTTTCCAGCTTTTCCTAGGTGGCTACAATCTTTTGCATTCCTGTGTAGACCAAGTAAGATTTTATATTCTCACAAAATACAGATATACACAAGTATATGTATGTATGTATATGCATGTGTGTGTGTGTATATATATCTCTGCCCCCCAGTTCCTGATTCAGAACTCCTAAAACCCTTATAAATAGGGTGAGCTCAAATAATCTTTTGTTCTAATATTTAGTCTTTGACCCTAGGTTTTGATCTCGAGCTACCAGGACCTCCATAATTTATTGAGTGACAGGAGTGTCTGACACCAGGCTCCTAAGTACCTTGGAATTTCCTGGGTGTTAAGAACATCTCTTGTTCTAATGAGGTGACTTTGGGTGGCCCTGAGACGGTCACCAGAAAGATCCAGCCATGATTAGCAGCTCGGGATTTTCGGCACCAACACCCCGCTCATTCTCCAGAGAGGAAAAAGGGGCTAGAAATAGAGTTAAAAATCCGTATCACCTACAAGATAAAGCTTCTATAAAACCCCAAAAGTAGGGGGTTTGGAGAGCTTCCAAGTGCGTGGACATACTTACATGCCAGGGAGGTGGGGCACCCCAACCACACAGGAACAGGAGTTCCTGAGCTCATGACCCTTCCAGCCTCACCCCATGTACTCCTGACCCGGCTGTGCATCTTCATCCCAGACACATCCTTTATTACGGAGTAAGCTGCTAAACTGAAGTCTGAATTTCCCTGAGCTCTATAAGGCTTTCTAGAAAACTACAAATCCAAGGGCAGATACGAGAACCCTGACTTCTAGCCGGTCGGAATTCCTGGGGACAACCTGAGACCTCTGACTGGTATCTGAAGTAGGGACAGTCTTGTGGGACTGTGACTTACGGGATCTGGTGCAAATCCTATGTAGCTACAGTCAGAACTGAACTAAACTGCAGGATACTCTGCTAGTGTTGCAGCACTGGCTGGTATGGAGGAGAAACCCGCACATTCAGTGACAAGAAGTGAAGTGCTGTGTGTGTGAGGAAAGGAGGAACACGAGTGGCTTTCCTCAACAGACGGCTTCTAGTCCGTTTCAGCAAATTCAGTTCATTCTCTCAGGTGAGAGTTTAGTGAACACTCTTAATTTTCTCTAAGGAAGAAAAAAATTTCATTTCCCGATGCATTCAACACTGAACAATACGTCAGTATTTCTTAACAATGAAAAATAAGAAAACCTTTTTCCTCTTGTGGTGACAATGCACAAACAAAATGCATCTTTGTATCATGCGCTTCAGAACTATTAACTCACAGATAACTCTACAGGGGAGAAACTGATGAGAGAAAATGAAGGACCCAAGGGACACCTCCTGCAGTCTTAGCAGGGATGGCCACAGAGACCACGGTGACACCAGAGAACAGTCAGAAATCACCGCACAGGGCGAACAAGCATCAAAAACCACCTTCCATGCTGCAGTGAGAGGTGGTTACAGAGACGGGCCACGCTTATAAATTTAGTGGTCAGCTAAGCTAACACACATTCAGCCAAACAAGGTAATCTCTGCCATCGTTAATGGAAAACCATAGTTTAACCACAGTCCCAGCTGTCCAATGATATTCAAAAAGAAACTGCCTCTGGCCACCTGACTCCTGTAACGGTTTTACTCAGTTCGTGAAACTACACATGCAGAGGATCCGCTCCCAGAGGAAAAGCGAGCACTGACAATGGCACTCCCAGGAGTCAGACAAAAAACTAAAATCTGCAGGACAAACGTGGGCCCCTAACATATGCCTGGTCAATACACGCCCTTCTTCGCATTAAATAAGGTAACCGCAGGTCCCATTCTGCCCGCAACTTGACTAAGGTGCAAACCTATGCCAGTAACGGCAGCAGTGACAGTATTTTGGGGGTACTGGGGGAACGGGCCTGTTACTCAACCTGGGGAGCCTCTGTTACAGCAAAGTCAGGCAGCACGGCGCAAGGCCCTGGTCTGGCAGGTGATGACACCTTTTGTATGTCAGTCTCTTCCACCCTGGTGTTCAAGGGCGGCCTCAACCAACTCCTTCGAGCTCATGCCCCACCCCTACTTGTAAATTCCTTCACTACCACGTGTAAATTCCTACCTCTTGGGAAGCCTTCCTCTGGTAAAATGCATCAGTATTAGAATTTCAACCACAGAGGCCTCAGTTACGAGGCATAATAGTGACACTCACTCGTGGTAATGTAAAACCTTATTCCACAGTCACTTTATCTTTCTCCAATTCTCAAAGGATCCTAGATTAAAACTGGCACTCTCCTGCTTTTTCCAGTCTCCAAGGCGAACAACATGAAACAATTGTCCTCCAAGCAGAGTTTAATTTTTCTCCCCCTCGTTTGCCAAAAATGCCACAGGGAAGAAATCAAAACAACTAAGCATTTGCTGGAGTTTCTGCCAAGGAAAACGTCTCCCATTTCCTTCATCCCACAGATTCTCTTTTAAGAAAAATCCTCTTCCACATAAAATCAAAAGTGCACAGATCCATATTTTTCCCCTTTTCTGAAAACCATTTGACATGCAGAGTCTGAGCGGCCTACACAGGGCTCCTCTCTGCAGCGCCGGGGAAACCTGCACGCTGGCCCGAGCAAGGACCTCACAGAAAGGTACCATTTACAGCAGTGTTCCGGCAGCAGTAACGCCGGACCCACAGGGACTGCTCTAAGTTTTCTGACAGACTGAACTATGGAATACATCCAAGGGAGAAAAAAATAAGAGGAAATGAAAACACAACTACAGCCACTGCCGGTGCACCTGTGAAAACCCAACTGCGGGTCTCAGCTAGTGGATCTGGGGCTGTGAATTTACACAGAGATGCCTGTAACCTGGCAAGGCCCTAACGTCTCTCAAACTTCATTCCTTAACTACTAAATGCCTAGGAGCAGGAAGCTCTAATGATTAAACACCATGTGTCAAACACAAAAACTGAGATGCACGATGAAACAGCAAACAAGATGACTTCGAATAAGTATGTGAGTCACCAAAAATGTCGTCAAAACTAAAATTCTACCGACAGTGGGCTTCTTCCATGTAACATTTTATTCATGTGATTCACTCTATCAAATACTATGTGGACTTCTGGCATTATCTCAAAATATTGTTTTCTGCCTTTAATTTTCAAATCTCTTTCCAGGGGAAGCCATTTCCAACCCGCTAATCTCTCCGAATCTGCTCATCTCCCTAACCTTCTGTGAGTTAAATATATCCATGTTCCCAGAGCATTCTGTTCAGCCCATTATTATATATCTGATGAGTAGTGGGAGGTGTGCCTTGACTCCTGAGCAGAAATTCTTTCACAGCTCCACATTCCTGGTATCTACCAGCGATCAGGATACAGCAGACAATGAATAACTGTGAGTGAATGAATGAATGAATGAATGAACCAACCATTTTTTTACCTTTTAAAAGGTGAAAGGAAACCCCAGATCTTCTAAAGTGAAATCTATTTTTGACACCAATCATGGTAATGAAGTCATTTGCACACGGAAAGAACAGCTCACACACACTATCGACCATAAACTTGTGCCTCTGCACCTCGGAGTGATACTTACTGACGGGCACAATGAAATCCCCATGCAGCTCGTAGGTCATGAGCGGCTCCGGGAGACTCCTGCAGGGAAGAACGACATGGCGTCACCAAGCAGCTCCACACAGGCCCACGCTCTCTGGGCTCGTTGTTGTAAGACACACATATTAAATATACTGTGTATTTCTTAGTAATGCATAAAACTCCCCCAGGGAATACTTTTATATATCAAAAGGATCCATAAATCAAATGGATTACTTTACTAAGAGCTATCTGTACCAGGCACTATCCCAGCTTAAGCAGCCACACATTCCTATCAGACTTAAGCACATGGCATTTCACATTTCATCTTGGAAGGTACCTTTACAAGCATCTGATTCATATACAAAACTTCCCTCCACACATTTACTTGCATTCCCTCCACACATTGCCATACATTCTATTCAACCAAATGTAAGCATATAATTTTGCAAATAGTCTCTAAAATATTAACTGAAAATATATAAAGACGAAGCAAACTCAAAGAAATCAAATTCTCTCTTCTTACATATCCCTATTATAAATGTATAAAACCCATGTTTGGCTTATGCTTGTGAAACAATAAAATACAGATATGAAGTGAAATTGAGGACAACTTCAAAAATACCCACATCATTATAATCTTCTACTAAAATAGATTACATAAATGGTAGTGTACTTTATCCTGTGGTCAACAGAATGCTGCAGCTCAACATGTACACGTAGTTAAAATCTTTTTAAAAACAACTCTATAAACATTAAAGAACACTTAGAAAAGTGTCAGTCTGGTCTACCTGTCCCATTTCTGGAGGGCAATCTGGCAAGATAGTAAAAATCTTTAAAATGTTTAAATCATGTAACCCAGAAATTCCTCTTCAAGTGCTTTAAAAAAAAAAACAAAGATACACACACACACACACACACACACACACACAGAGATTTAAAACACATTCAAAAGCCAACAAAAATGCCAGGAAATAAAGGATCATTTCATATTGTTAAAGAGGTCGAGTCATCAGCAAGATTGAACAATTCTAAGTGTTAATGGATCCAGTAACGGGAGCTTCGGAATGCACAGAGCAAAGCTGATGAAACCACAAGGAGAGAGAGAGAGAGAGAACAGTAACTGCAGCTGAGACTTAAATACCTCTCTGTCTCAATAACTGATAGAACAAGTAGACAGAAAATCAGAATACAGAAGAGCTGAACAAAGCGATCAACCAACCTCACCTAACAGGTATATCCTTCACATAATTGTCTTCCAGAGCACCTGGGACATTCATCAAGATAAACCATGTCTAGGACATGAAACCAATCTCAATAAATTGAACAGAATTCCACTTGTACAGGGTATTTCTCTGATGAGAACAAAAAAGGATTTTGAAATCAATGACAGAAATATATCTGGAAAAGCCCCAAGAAAATGAAATTAGGAAGTATTCTGAGCTAAATGCAGTATACCACATATTAGAATTTGAGGGTTGTTCATAAAGTAATATTTGGGGATAAATTTAAACTGCTAAATAGCTATATTATTACAAAAGAAGAAAAGTCTTGTATCAATTACTTTTTTCCTATCTTAGACAGAAAAAAAGGGGTCAATTAAACCCAAAATACGTAGAACAGAAAAAAGTAAAAATCACAGCATAAATCAGTGAAATAGAAACAAAAAACAGAAAATAATAAACTCAATTCTTTGAGATAATCAATAAAATTGATAAATTTAGCCATACTGACTAAGAAATAACACAGGGAAGTCACAAATTATCAATGTCAAGAATGGTAGAGACAGGTGCAGAATCACTACAGCCGCTAAAGGTATTACAAAGAAAACAAGAGAATGTGATGAACAGTTTGATGTTCACAAATTCAACAACTTAAATGGCCAAATGTCTTAAAAGACAAAAACTCCCAGATCGCTTCAGAAGAATTGGGAAAACCTAAGTAGTCCTATATCTATTAGAGAAAGTGAATTTGTAGTTTAAAATTTGCCAGTAAAAGAACTCTAGGCCCAGATGACTTCACTGGTGAGTTTTAGCAAAGAAAAAAAGAATACCAATTCTATACAAATTCTTCCAGAAAATATAAGAGGGAATACTTTCTGACTCATTCTTTGACATCAGCATTTCTGTCATTCTGAAATTAAGGGCATACAAAGAAAACTACAGACCAATATTGTGAATATACATGCAACTATTCTAAATAAAATGTTAGCAACTCAAACTCACAGAGATAAATATAAGGATAATACATCATAAGTTTACCACAAAAATGCTACACTGCCTTAATATTAAAACAAAATCAATGTAACTCTTCATACTAGCAAACTGAAAAAGAAAAATTCTATGATCATCTTGACAGGTGATTCAGGGGAGAAAAAATAGTTTTTCCCACAAATGGTTCTAGAACAACTGGACATCCATATTCATAAATGAACTTGGATCCACACCCCATATCTTCACAAAAATTAACTCAAAATAGACCGCAGATCTAAGTATAAAACCTCAAACTATAAAACTTCTAGAAGGAAATAGAAAACCTTTGTGCCTCTGAATTAGGGAAAGATTTCTTGAGACAGCACATAAAAAAATGATAAGCTGGATTTCATCAAAATTAAAAAGCATTTGAAAGATGCTATTAAGAGAATAAAAAGACAAACCACAAATAGAAGAAAACATTTGCAAAGTACGTTATCTGAGAAAGAATTTGTATCCAAAATATATAAAGGATGATCAAAACACCATAACAAGAAAAATAACCCAATCTTTTTATTGCATGAAAGGCACATACACCTATTACAAAAAAAATATAAACAGCAAATGAGCACATAAGAACGTTAATATTAATTAGTCATTATGAAAGCACAAATTTAAAAGTACAATGAGATACCACCATACAACTGTTAGAAAGGCTAAAATTAATAAGACTGATCATATCAAGAGTTGGCAAGGACGCAGAGAGAATGACAGTCTTCTACACTGTTGGTGGAAATGTAAACTAGTACAACTGCTTTCTGTAAAAGTTTGTCAGTTTACCAAAAAGTTAAACATACACCGACTGTAGAAGCCAGGCGTCGCGCAGACATTAGGGTTCGCCCGAGAGAAAGTAAAGCCTAGGCTCAAAGATGTGCACACGAAGTTTCTAGTAGATTCATTTTCAACAGCCAAAGCTACAAACAACCCAACTATCCATCAATAGGTGAATAAAGTTCTTTAAAAATTGGTGTGTATCCATACAACAGAGCCAATAAAACACTAGCTAGCAATAAGAAGAACTATGCTACAACATAGACTAATCTCTAATTATGCTGTGTGAAAGAAGCCAGATTTGAAATAAAAATATAACCACAATATTCCATTTATGTGACATTATAGCAAATATAGAATTTTTTATATCATGACAGAAAGCAGACTAGTGGTTGCTTAGGAATAAGGAAGTGAAGAGAGCTGGTGAGAGCGAGGAATTTCCGAGGGGCAAGAGGAAATGGGATGGGGGCAGCAGGGGTGGATGAGAGGGTTGCTATTTTGATTATGACAATGACTTCACAGATACACATACATGCCACACACCAATGCACACTATACATATGGACAGCCTAGTGCATGCCGTTTACACTTCAATAACTGTTTAAAAACAAAATAGATGCCAACATATATTTACAGGTTATGATCCTTACATACAACTTATAACGGTGCGTACATGCACACAAAGACACACACGCACAATGACAAGTGTTGACAGTGAAACTGATGCACTTAGAACTCTACTGAAGAGAACAGTTCTCTTATTTCCTCTCTTCTCCCCTTCACCCTCTCCATTGTCATTTAAAGGTAAAAAAATTAAATCGAGTACACCACTGACTAAATAAAGAAAAAGGAGTAAACTTTGAGGGATTTTTTTGTTTTAAAATATGGAAAAGCAAGAAGTATGCCAAGAAGGAAAACTGTTATTAGGCAAAGAATGAAAGAGAAGGGTGCTGAAAGTGGGAAAATGAGGCACTCACAAACACCACCGAGGGAACTTCTTTCTCAATAAAAATGAATTTATATCTAAATGTCTTCTATAAGCTTCTCATCACCATATGTCTGCTAGGCAATGCAGCATGAAGAATAAGCATTAGATACGGCTAATGTTAGGGAGGCAGTAATAAAAATGACAAGTTCCCCATAGAAAATGTATTATCCTGAGTCACCGTATCTCTCAACTTCCCAACCCGATGTGTTTTCAAGCTACAGCTCTTGGCCACCCGTTGGGATCTGCCTGAGAATATAAATCATAACATTTACCTATGCTGGCAATTTCTTCCCCCAAAGTCCCATCCCAATTTGCAGGCTTTAAAAGTTTCCTCGAGGTAAAATCATTTTACTGAAAGCATCACAAAACAGTTCGTTGTCCTGTCACATGGGAAACTGTTGTAACGAATGCACTACTGGAAATCAAAATTATGGTCTGGATAGGAAATCAATCAGAGGGCTGGTATTCAGCCTTCTTAAAGCACTGAAAGTTTTAAAAAATTGCCTCAAGTCAGTAGAAAAGAGGGAGATGCCACACATTCGAGGTCTATTCAGAAAGTATCCAGCCACATACTGTGAAAAAGAGACTTTTACTGAAGAAGATACAAAAAACATTATACACAGGACAGTAATGTCTCAGTCCCCTTCAAAGTAGGTACCTTAAACCTCACACATTTCTCCCGATAGCCATCAGCTGCCCAGGTGTATTTTCCTGAATCTCATCAACATCCTGGAATCTCTTCCCTTTCAAAGGTGAGTTTCGTTTTGGGAAAAGCCAGAAGTCACACGGTGCCATATCTGGTCTCCAAAGGGGCTGAGTTACCTGGGTGATTTGATGTGTCGCAAAAAAATTGCACAAGATGTGATGCATGAGTGGGCATGGTGTCATGATCAAGCTTCTAATCACCAGCTGCCTATAGCTGAGGCCTTCTGAACTATCCAGATGTTTTCCATGGAGGAATGTTCAAGCTTAATGAAATATTTAATGCAGATTCGTTGCTCTTCTTGCTTAGTCATTTTGAATGTGACAGCCACACAGTACACATGCTCACGCAACGGCGTCCACTGACCCCACCGACAAGTACAGTGAAGTTGTCATTGTTCACACATGCACATTCCAGTCCACTCTCCTTGGCTGCCAAGTTACATCAATGTCATGCAAACCATTCTCGTTATATTAACAATGACTGCATTTTCTTCCAGACAGACCTTGCATGTCTGCTGTACCTGTTTTTCTTTCTTTTAGACCCTGGAGGTTTTGCTTCTTGTTTTAGTTTGGTGCTTGGGGGGTGGTTGGTTACTTCCCTCTACTACTTCCAGCCTCCCATCCCATTAGGTGACCGAGTATCTGCAGAATTCAAGGGCAATGGTAAGAAAAGCTGTCTGCAGCTTTGGGCCATGGTTCCTTAAGTGGCAGCTGGGATTCCACACTGGGCAGGCTGGCACTGGGGCCATGCTCTGGACCATCACACTTCTTATGCTGAAAGAAATGCATCTGCTTGGACCCAACTGGGTAGTCAGAATGGAGGTACAGAAAAACTCAGTTCTCTCCCCTTGGGCGCATCGTCAGAAAGTGTCAATTAAATCCTAATCACTGCATTTTCAGTAGCTAAAAATAACATAGGGGAAAAGAACAGCAAAGCCTTTCAAACCTTCCAAGTCATCTGCCATTTTATGATCATTACTTTATCACATTCAGGCAGAAGGTGTTATGTGGCTATATATGTCTTATAACTTCCCTCCTAACATCTCATAATGTTTTGTAAGCAATGTTTAACAGTGGAATTCCACAGGATGCAACAGCGTAATGAGACAAAAAGGCAACACTACACCAGGAGCAATAAGAAAACTAGCTGCACAGAGTATCGAGACAATTTGAACTGATTCTCCTCACAAGGAAAAAACAACAACAAAAAAGGAGTGGGAAAACACACAGATTTACTAGGAAAGAACCGATTTCTGTCCTTGATTTCCCACCAACACCTGAATGCCCTTGGTCAACTCCCCTACCTGTACTAGGTATAAGCTTCCTCCTAGAGCGGCAGCACCCTTTGTTAGTCAGTACCTTTTGCCATCCCTTATACTTTTATACCCCTCACCCCGTCTTTCCAACACGCATCTAAAACAGGCTCACTCAACCTCAGCTCCATCGACATTCTGGACATCTGGGGGAGGAAAATGGGCTCTCTCATACACCACAGGTCCATTTCTGGCCTCCACTCATTACACGCCAGTAGCGCCTTCTTGCCTGCAACTGTGCCAACCAAGATGTCTACAGATATTGCCAAGTATCCCCTGGGTCGGGGCGCAAAACCCTCCCCAGTGGAGCACCACTGCTCTCATATCTGGGGTAAAGCTCTCGATGCTGGGGATTCTGCAAAGAACATGCCACGCGAGATGTCTGTCTTCAGGAAGCTCACGTTCTAATCCCAGGGCGGGGACTGACAAGGTTCGCTTTTACTGCAATCCTCAACGAAACCACTTAGGTGCTCTCAGTGGCAAGCTAGACATAAGCATGTAGATTTAGCCTGAATTGTACCCCTTAATAGTTTGAGAATGATAATGTGAATGACGATGATGATGATGTACTTCCTACTTAAAGAAAAAGTTAAAACAGTAACTGATACTATCTTGCTTAAATACTTGAAAATATGTAAAACACACCTGAACCCACTGACATACCAGAATTTGTTAAAGAAGTGGAACAGCCAGAAACACAGCCCCCCCCCCGCAGTGTAAAAACATGAAGAACACAGCACCACTATGATGCAGTCTTGCAATGAATAAATAAACATTCTTGTAATAAATGACTTTAACCTATACCTAATTAAGCCTATAGATTTAACTAATAGTTTTCATAAAATATGATAGGTAAAGAACCATGTTAAAAGATAAGGATATAAAATACAGCCATAACCAAAAAGCAGAAAATTCTATTTTAAAAACTGACCCAGGTTCATCACCAAAAAATGCTGGGGGCTGAGGAGTGGGGCACAGAGGAGAGAGACTCCTTTGTTTTTTAGAGAAAAGTTAATGAGTCACAGAAATGCTGAGCCTTTTCTATTTCTAGCCAGAATTTTTGTAATAAATAGAAAATTTATGTTCATCTTAAAACTTGAATAAGTAAATATATTTTCAAATAGCTTTGTATCCCTTTTATCATTTAAGCCTTTACGTTCAAATGGTTTCAATTTTAAGCTTTAAAAAAAAATCTCCATTTTAGCCAAAAACCTAAATGAAAGATCCAGTGGATGCGACAGCACTCCTCCTCATTGTCTGGCAGAGTTTACTCCCTGAACAGTTACAACAGACATCTATTCAAATCCTGTCTGCTGCCCCCAACTCCGTCCTGCTGCAATTTACCGATGTTCACCTGCTTCACCCACTTGCTGGGACGTTGTCAGACGCCTCATAAACATTCTCCTTTTAAGAAGGTTTAACTTGACTACTCGGATCGATGGGCAGAGTCGGCGTCTGCTGTGTATTAAATATCCAAATCATCCATACGTCCCTTCTGTGGCTGAGAGGAGCTTACCTCAAATACTGTTTCAGGGCACTTGTTATTGTCTTCACTTCCCAATCTATGGAATTCTCCAGGTCCAATTCATTGCATGTTTTTACATCTAGCGAGCAAGCAAAAAAAAAAAAAAGTATATTAAAACCTCGAATATTCAAAGGCTCTCTTGACTGACTCACAAAGCTTTCATTTACAAGTGGCCAAACCACAAATAATTAATTCTGTGGTTTCCTATGCAAACATTATACTCAATTTCTTATAAGACTGTAAGCCATGATCTATTACCAGACATTTCTAGCACTTCAGAAAATCAGTAGTGGAAAATCAAAATTAAGCTATAAGGGCCGGGCTGAGAGTAGGGAAGAACTGGACATAGGGTAGCATTTCGGTATTCCCCACTGCAAAGTATGGAGACCTATCATGATTATTACCATTAATAACATTACTATTGCAGGTGCTACTCAGTAGCCATGGCTTAGAGAATGTGGCACGTTCGGTGCCCGTGCATTTTCGGTGGTTCGGGTGGCACTGTTGCTATCACGGAGTTATGAGAGGGCAAACACACAGCCTTGTTAATGGCAAAATGATTACATATTAGAACAGCAAAAGGCCAGTGGGAAGAAAGGATGAGTTTGGTCCCACACATCTAAGATTTGTACTTATCATATTAGGCATCTTTCTAAAGATTAATATACAAAATGGAAAAATGGTGACACATGAACTTAAAAAGTCACTTATGAGTAATCTTTCCCATTAACATTAGAATTTACACACTCATCCAGGAAATATTTATTGGAAGCCTCTGTGTAACCCTTCTGATGTTCATTCTAAATTAAACTAGTTTTCTTTTGTCCTGAAAGTGTGTTAATGGTGTGTTTTTCCAAATGGCTTTTCAAATAGCTAGGAAGCTCCGAAGACCTGGGACTTCATAAAAAAGAAAGAGGAGGAGGAAGAGAAGGAGAAGAGAGAGAAGGAGGGAAGGGGAGGAGGAGGAAGAGAAGGAGAAGAGAGAGAAGGAGGGAGGGAAGGAGGCGGACAGGGAGGGAGGGGACCAATCCTGAAAAGGAAAAGGTCAGTGCAGGATGGTGAGGAAGGCAAGCCCTCTGAGTAGGGTAGCATCTCTGATTCTGGGAAGGCTGGGCTACCACAGGGCACCAGGGCAGACTGCAGCACTGGAAACGTGAACCCGGCTGAAATTCCTGCTGGAGCTCTAACCACCACCCCACCCCACCCCACCCCACCCCACCCCAGTCACTTCCAAACCAATCTGAACTCCAGGCTCTCGTCTGCACAAAGGAGGTCATGTAAAAGCTCTCAGGGAGCATTAAATCAGGGATGTATCCAGATTCCCACAAATTATTAAACCAGTAGGCAATTACCACAGCTGAAAGTATCAGCATTCAGTGGTAGAACAACCTCAAAGGAAGGGAACAGCCAATGGATTATAATGAGTAATACCAAACAATCAATTTAAACTTGCCTGCTTTTCTACAACCCCATCACACATAGGAGAGAAGAAGAGATTCATGGAGGAGACATTATTTCTCCCCTCACTCCAGAATGTCTCAACTAAGACCAGGAAAAAACCTAGTTGTGTTGGGGTTTTTCCTCCTCCCTTACACTGCATTTGTCTATCCCAGGAAGGAAACATCATGTTAGTATTTCCTCTTTAAAAGCACTAAAAAGCACAATCTGTCAAACTGGGACCACCACATTATGTCACACACGCCACCAAAAAAGTTTCAGGCTTGGGTATGAGACAGGATGGATGGCAGCTGAGTGTTACTCTCAAACTTTTTGGAAATCGAGTAAAACAGGAAGTGATGGTTATTTCATGGCCATAACATCATGCATATGAAGTCAATTACTCAAAAGTCTGGAGACTTTTTAAAGCATTTCAACAGTTCTTGATTACAGCAACTGACAGCAATATGCAATAAACTACAACAATGGCAACTGACACTGATTACATTTTGATCAGTTCTGCAATTCAAAACTCATTTGTTGCTAAGCTTGTCAGACAAGCCACAGGTATATGCAAGAAATCAAATTAAGCACCCTGATTAAAGGCACAATCCTTTATAACTGGGACTAAATAATTCTGTTCTGAAGGCTTTGCCAGCCAATTACTTCACTAACTGAATATTCTCTCTCATTAAATCAATTATTTAAATCTCATTTCAACACACAAGTCAGATAACATTTTCAATCAACTTGCTTCCAACAAATCACCATTTTTAAATCCTTCTAATGGAAAGGCTTCTAAATGAAATCTTTTCTTTTCAGCTTTCTACCAAATTACCGTTTCATGTTTTGAGAATCATATTTTTTTCAATGTAAAAAACAAAGCTATCCTTTGAATTCACAAAATAAAAAAGTAACTGTTACATCAGAAGCTAATAACTGCATTGTGACTACGGTACCAATCCTCCAATAAATTTCACTGTTTTCAAGTCAGTCAATCATCCATGGGAGTTTTTCGTTTTGTTTTGTTTTGTTTTGTTTTGTTTTGTTTTGTTTACAATCAATGGATGTACTGGGACTAGGTAAATTTGTTTATACTCATTTGGGGTTCAATCTTAAAATGCATTTGACTGTTCAACCTCAATATGTATCCTATCATAAATAAGGTAAAAAATGTACTTCCTTTCTGACCAAGAGAAACCACTTCATGGATTACCTAAAAATTAAAATTAACAAGCACAGATGCAAACAACTGACTTTTTATTTGGGTTAAAGTTTCATAATTTTGTAACTTGCCAGGGGTCATTTTCTTGAAACAGGACATTTTCAGCCCAATCTAGAGGCAAGTGTTGGCACTGACCTGGTCTCATTTTAAAGAACTTAGAAAGCACAGTGACTAAGTGAATTTTGAAAATGAATTTTTTCAGCTGTTTTCTTTTTCACCAATCTACGTGAAAAGGTTCTCTTACAAAGCAAACACGGTAATATTTTAAAAGTAAAACACTTCTAAATTAGTTTTATTTGTTCTCTATGGTTCTCTGTCTAAATCTGAAACCATCCAAACTTTTTTGCAAATCAGGTTTATTTAGAAGCAACCACCACATCCACCAGCCACATCAGCTACTATCACATTTTCTCTCACGCTCCCCTCCCCTGCTCTGACGTTTTCGTTCTGAAGTGGGGAAAAGGAAGAATACATGAAACTCTAACTCGTTTCAGTTCTAAACAACCAATAACTATAGTAATTTACCTGCTACATTCGCACCCCATCAACTAAAAACATGACTCACCTCAAAACAACGCGTCTAATATTTCTCCCTGCCTTCCCCAACTGCTAAATCTGAATCTCTAAAAACAAACAAAAACCCAAAAACTTTTAGGAGACCATGCATGCCCTCTGTTGGAGCCACAGGGGAAGGAAAGGACCCGTGAAGGGAAAGAAGGCAACTGCTCACTTAAACATCTACTTTAGGAAGTGGGTCCCGGGGAAAGCAGGAGGCAACTGAAAACCGTGCAGGCCACTGCCTCCTGCTCCCAGGAGAGAAGACAACTAAGGCGGCACACGATTCTCATCACCACGGGGAGGAGGGCGGCTGCCCACTCCTTCCCCTGGCCTGCAAGGGTACTAACAACTTGACTGTTTGGAAGACTCGAGAGGACTTTCTAAGGTCACCTGCCATCAGTATGACTCACTGGCAGCCAGAGGGGAGAGAAGAAAGGGGTGAGGAGGAGGGGGGAGAAGGGGAGGATGAAGGGAAGGAAGAAGAAGAGAAACATTTTTATTTTATTCTTAAATGTAGAGAGAAAAACACTCCATTAAAGGTAACGGGTGAAGAAAACATGCAAGATTTGAGCAGACATCCTTTCTTTAGAAATCATCCAAATTTTACACATGAGTATTTAAAGAATACTTAAAATATTTTATATAAAAACAGCAATAATTGAAAATATACCAAAGTAAATAATTAACTCTCAAGAATTAAAGAGAACTAAGTAAAGTAAATGGAAGCTCTTCTCAAAAAATATAAAATGGCTTGGAACATTTTCTCAGATATTTAAAATTAGATATTTTTATTTTGTACAAAGAAAGGCGCATTGCAAACAAAAGAGGCTTTGAAAAGATTCAAGTTTGAAATAAACATTACCTGCAGAAGAGTAATTTTTAAAACACAAATGCACAGTACCACAAATGAGCAAAACTATCAGAATTAATTATCTGATTAATTCACAGTAAGAGGGGAGAAATACGGATTGGTTTAAACACAAAGCTAAACATCTGGTGAACTCGCTCAATTTCTTTCTCTTTAAAATGATGTAGAAAGATGGGAAAAGTTGGAAAGATTATCTATGGGATAGGGTACACATGACTACTCAAACTCTAACATCTCTTTTTTTTTGGAAGAAATATAAATTATTTCCATTTGAACACCTACTGAATCAGGATGAACGTAAAGAAATATCTTAAGGAAATCTTAAATTTATTAAGCGAATAAATATATTTTGTTAAGAGCTAAAGTTTGCATTCATAACAAAGCAATAAGAAAATGATACTAATGCTAATCAAAGTCCAGTCTGTGGTTGATATTACCGGCTAGGAATTATTAACAAAGTAAAACAATGTATCTTGTATAGCCCCTTTAAATAAATACTCACTAAAAAACTAACAAGCCAGCATCTTTCCCTCACGTCAGTTCTCTAACTTCCCATCTGCAGAGTGTCACTGAAGGCACAGCGTTTCCCTCGTAAGTGCCATAACCAGGGCTGTGTCACCCTTGGGTCCTGGGTGTCTCTACTCTGAGTTCCGTGGGAAGAGAAAGCAGTTCTACGGGTCATGAACTGCTGAGGGATTGGATATTTTTAAAACATCTCAGAAGGTAAGGACTGCCAATGAGATATTTTCCAGGAGCAGAGGAAACAATCCTCTGAGTTCAAGGATGCAGATCGTGTGGGATTTTATGAGTAAGAACAAATTTGGGGACAATTTCACACTTCAAGGTGACCACAAGAGACACCCTGTTCCAGTCACCCTTGAGCATGAACAAGGAGATAATAAAAATAACGCTAGGGTCCTTAGGACCAATTCATCGCCACAGGGCACGGCACTAGGCCAAAACCTCCCTCTCCAATATCACAGACTCCCAGTTCTAATCATCATAACACCATCTTGGGAAGCAAAGAAGTGTTTCTAATTTTAAAATTAACTAAAAGCAGATGCTATAGTTCCATTAAATGCTTCCAGCTGCTACTGAACCACTGGCAACCGAAGTCTACTTTGTTTGGAGACCACGGATGGTAAGGAGGAAAATCTGACTGTCCGCATTGCACACCCAGGTTAAACCAGAGAGGCAGAAAGTAAAAACAGCTCATGAGAGTGAATGTATTCTAATAAGGCTCTGTAACTGATGATGGGCATTTTTTTCCTGTGGTTAATAGCCTTAAAAAAAAAAGGCTGTTGCTTATTAAATCCTTAATTCAAATAACAGCCAAACAAGCAATCCTATCTGTCACATCTCAGTTGATTTTATTCATCTTGGTTTCTGCTTCCAGAAAATGAGTCTTTGCTAAAACACTCTAAGATGCAGACTCGTTTAAATGCAGCGACAGTACACCTGAGGGCATTGTTAATGTTGATTAGTTAAAGTAAGATGTCAAATTAATTAACATTTAGCAAGGTCATAATGACACACAGGCCCTCAAGCCTGACGACTCATCACCACTTCCCCAGAGGCAGCCTGCTCTGGGCTGGGGAAGGAAGTGAGGCGCCTTACAGGTGGCACCGAACTGACGGCCGCGTGCAATGGAAAAGCGCTGTGTCATTCACAGAATGTCTAGGGTAATGAAATGAATTCACTTTCTGGCTTCCTCCAGCTCGCGGTGCCAAAGAACACAGTGTTATCGGCGCAGATGGAGCGGGCATGGTTCTGGAGAAGAGCCTGCTGCGAACTACAAACAAGCCCCTGTGAATACCAATGCATCCCCGAGAACCAGACTCTTGCTGTCAAATGACAGTTTTGGAAGTGCCATAAAAATGAGCGAGTCCCAATTGGTCTTGTCCAATCAAATGTTCTGTCGAGACTCTGGACAGTCAATTTGGAAGCCACACAAATCACAGCTGGCTGCTGCTTCCGCATGAGAAGAAGGCGGGAGAAGACGTTCGCCCATGAGCTGCATGCTTTTGTTCCTTCCAGTTCTTAGTAAGCCAAGAGAAAGCGGATAATCAGTGCTGATGCAAACACTCATCTACCTCTTAGAGTCAACGTGGAGAAAACTACTGTAGGTAGAAGAAAAGAGTGGATTTGCAAGTATGCTGGACATGACTTTGAAATATGAACTCATGACATTAATGGACATAAACAAATCATGCATGGAAAATGATTAGAAAAGAAGCATACCCATCAACATACTGAGAAGTCTCTGGACCTTTGAACTCACCCCCACAACTCTGTACAATCCTTGGTCATTTATACCTATTGGAAGAGACAAAATGTTAGCAAAATACAAGACTGTCACATTTTCAAAGCTGTCAACAAACAGTTGCGTTCAGATTCTCTGCTGACTCGTGTTAGCAGCACTCCTGTTGATTACAAAAAGAATGTTCGACAAAAGCGAGCGTGTCAGAACTTGTTTAGTGGCTTGGTATGCGTGAGTTATGGTTGGAAAACAATCCCAACCATAAAACAAGGTTCCATGTGGACAAAATGTGCTGAGTCAATGTTAATGAAGTAAATTAGCTAAGCAGTACTCATGTATACCAACCCACTACGTAAAAATGCACAACTTTATTGTTTATGTTTACTAATTCTTTACATTTTCTTGAAAGTTTTTAGACTTTTAAAAGTAACCTGATGCTGGCTAATACACAGGAAATAAATCAGTGTTTAGATGATTCTTGAAGACCACAGAAATTCATTCAAAACTGAGGCAGAACTGCTTTTGCTTTTTGCTTTTAAGAACTGTGAAATGCACTGTCCAGTGAGAAACTCTGATATTTCAAGTACCACTGCGAACCCTACATTCAAATGAACTAAAACTCACCGCATTTTCTCTCCAAAGAGACCTGCATCCAAAGTAGCCCTGAGCACAGCAGACGAGAAATAAAGGCAAGAAAACTTAACTGTCAAACATCATTTAGTATGTGGTCACACGGCCTTGCTTTGACACTGATTTGATTAGACCAACTGCAAGAGGACTTTTGGAGGCAAGCAGGAAACTGAGTGGCCTTAAGGTTATGTCAAAAATGTTTTTATTTTTTCAGGTACATACTTAAAAGAGGGACCTATGTTCGATTCACTTTAAGAAGGAGGAAGTGGTAGATGAAGCAATTGTAGCAACATCCTGGAAATGATTGTGTCTGAGCGGCAAATATGTGGGAGTTCCTTGTACCACTCTCTAGTTTTGTTCATGCTTGAAAACGTCCATCATAATATAATGACTTCCAGAACAGGTGCCTCACTCTCTTTCTTTCTCCAAAGGGTTGTAGCTTTCTGCCTATGTGTTTATTTCCTGCACTATGAATAGTGAACACAACTGGCTGATAGGATGATGCCTGTACCTCCACAGTTTCCAAAACAAAGCAAAGCAACCCCCAAAAGGCCAAGAAATTTGCCCGTGGGAACATACTTTCTTTTTACCTCCCTACCTGGGGTGATGAAAAAAAAATATTGCACTGGACAGCGTCTAAAGAACTGGATGCAAATCACAGCTCGGTCACTCCTGAGCAGAGACCTTGGGCAACTCAGGACACCTGTGAGTCTGGATGCTGCCTCTGAGCGCCCAGCCAGCACCCTGCACCCGTGTTGTGGGGGGAAGAAAAAGAAGATGGTACCAGTGCGCGTTCTTCTGGTTATAAAGCACCACACATGCATACACGCACACATGCACACACTCACACAAGCTTTCATGATTCCTTGCAAAAGTTGACTTTGTTTTTTTTTTCTCTTTTTTTTTTTTTGCCTTTCACTTATTTCTCCTTACTCGTTTTCTAAAGCTTCTCAAATGTCCTATTTGTCTGCTTGTTAGGGGCTGAATTGTGCCCCACCTCCAAATTTTTATGTTGAGGACCTAATCCACAGTACCTCAGAATGTGACTATATTTGGAAATAAGGTCTTTAAAAGGGGTAATTATGTTACAGCGTGGCCACTGGGATAGGCCCTAGTCCAACATCACCGTACACTTTTAAGATGAGACAAGGGCATCACAGACACACACAGAGGGTCTTCAAGACTGTGCCCTGGCTGTCATAGCTCAGTGGATTGAGCACGGGCCTGCGAAGCAGACAATCGCGGTTCGATTCCCAGTCAGGGCACATACCTGGGTTGCAGGCCGGTTCCCTGCAGGCCAATTCCCAGCAGGGGACGCACCAAAAGGCAACCATACATTGATGTTTCTCTCCCTCTCTCTCCTTCCCTTCCCCTCTAAAGATAAATAAATAAAATCTTTAAAAAAAAAAAAAAGACTGTATGAGTGCACAGCAAGAAGACGGCCATGTGCAAGCAAGGGGAGAGGCCTCAGAAGAAACCAACTCTGCAGACACCTTGATCTTGGACTTCTAGCCCCAAGAATTGCAAGTGAATTAATTCCTGCTATGTCACCCAGTCTGTGGCGCTGTATTATCACAACCCTAGAGAACTGAGACTCTCTCCCTCTCAGTTACTCCACAGAGCTAAGAACCAGGACAGCGAAGGCTGCCCTGTCAGTCTAGACAAGTCTTCTCAAAACACTTTAAAGAAGCAAAGGAGCCAAGAGGCCCCTTCCCAATGGGGATGCTCACTGACTGCGGGAGAGGAGAAAAGGCAGGTCAGTTCTGCCAGGAACTGAAAACAAGAAAAAATATTCTCCAGGGGCAAAAAGACTGGGCTTCCTTCCTTCCCCTAGAGGCCAGAAGGCCATGTCCAGACAGTTCAAAATACCAGAGGGTAAGAGACCTAAACTAGATTGACCTCGGCACCTGAAGCCAAAAGAGCAAAGCACATTCTCTCCTCAAAGAAACTCGGCACTGCAGGAAGTGCCTGAAGTGCATGGAGAAAAGAAAGAGAGACTAGCAATGCTACTTCAGTAGCAATGATCACTCCGGGAGGGTCATTACTACCTTACTACCGGGTAATTGGCCAAGTTCAAATTCATCATCCTCAGAGAAACAGAGTTCATTGCTAATGCACAATAAAAGGTGCAAGGGAAATTAATGCTACTCAACATGGCTTTTATTTTTTAAGATGAAATTTAAATAAACCTTGTACCAAAGCAGCTAGAAAATAATGCATAAAACGCATACACTCAAATTGTGTAAGATTATTGTTACACTGTTCTTAGAAGCTTTGGACTAAGAAAATTAGAACATACTTTATATCTATAGATGTACACATCACACAAAAGATATCAAAGAAAGACATTTAAAGAACAGAAACCACTCAGTAGGCCAAGTCATATCAGTGGGTTCAACACATTCTCTCTGGCTTCTTTCAAAGTTCGCTCTTTCGGCCAAAGGGATCACTATTTCTAATCACCAGGTATTAGAATTTTGAAATCTTCTTTGATTTTTTCCCTGTCACTTCCTAAACTTCAGCAGGTCAATGTCTGCATTTTCTTCAGGCTCAGAGTAATCACTGCTTCTTCAACAGTCTTAAATTTGATGCACGTGCCTTTACGATGGCACCCCTGCAGGAAACACACACATCCATAATCCAACCTAAACATCATCTTTTTCTCCCCAACCTTTTATATTTCAAACCACTCTGATGACCTAAGGTCTCTCCCCTGTCCATTTCAGTGTAAGCCATCCAATCAAGTCCAAACTCAGCTAAATATGTAAGGCATGAACCAATAGCCACCGATCACAGCCCCCAGCTCAACTACCCGCATTTTCTGCAGAGCATGCGCCTTCATCGGGGCAGACCAGGGACTCACCCGCAACAACCAAAAGCATTCCCTCCTCCCTACTCCCTTACCCATGGCTACATTCAGGGGCAAGTCTCCTTTGGCAGGGATGTTATTCCCCTTCTCCTTACAGGTTACTCATCTGTCAAATATTTAATCATCAAATACATGGCAGGCACTGGTCTAACTGCCCAAGATTCAACAGTGAGCAAAACTGACTGATGTTCCATCCAGACCTCCAAAACCAGATTAAAAATCCCATCTTTCTGACACCACGGTGATAATCCCTTATTCTGAATGGGCCTCATAAGTAATCCCTTTTAACACTTAATTATGTTTTAAAACTAACCCACAATCTCTTGTGCACAATTCCCCAAATCAAAAATCGGAGTGCTTGACCTGACATCAGCTTACATATTTATTTTCCCCACTAAATGTGAATATTCGCATTTTACTGTGTAAAAAGTAATTTCCATACCAAAGCTATAAAGGGACGTTATCTATGGTTTGGTATATTTATGTCCCATATATCCTTTTCAAATTTAAAAGAATACCTAAATTCTAAAACACATCCAATCACAGAATTTTCAGGTGAAGAACTGTGGACCTGTGTTCTGCATTCTCTCCCTAAATGCACAGACATATATTACCTGGAAAGATATGAGGTCAACCTTGCTTTTAGGTTGGTTGTTTTCAGCAGCTTTCATGGTGCCTTGCATGGGTGCAGAACAGGCGTGGGTAGGCTGCTTTGACTTGAAAGTAATTTAGAACTACAGATACAGATTGGACGTGGGCCAAAAGAGGCATTAGTTAGAAAATGAAAACTTAAAGTGAAGATATCCACGTTATTAACTTTTTCAGGATCTCAACACCCAGTGATTGACATCATTACTACAACACTTTATAACTTTTAACAAAAATCTGTCATCCAATCAAAGTATTTACAGGTCAAAATACCTCTTTTTTTTTTTTGCTTTTAATAAGTAAGATTAGTTTTGATCAGTAGGAAAGGAAAGGAAACTGCTCTCCTTTACAGTGACCAGCAGGTGATGACAGCTGTCCTGGGCAAAGTAAATACAGTGAAACCAGATGTCTTCCTTCCCCACCATCTCCTCCCATCTCACTCAGTGCTGTCCCAGAACACAGTCCGGAACTTCCTGTGGGGGGGGGGGGGGGGGCGGGTCAAGAAGTAGGACCCAGTCAGCTTTCAGCATCATCTCTGCCCACACGTTTCCCTCTCAGAACCCAAAGGGCGCCAGTGTCTATCTGGCCCCAGAATGCACCTGCGCAGGGCTACAGGATCCCGTGGGCACCCAGAGGCCCTCACAGGTGGGCTGCAGAAGCACAAGAGGAAATGAGATGATCTGAGACAATAAAGAATTTCATGCAAGAAGAAAATAAAACTCAACGGGGTTGAGAAATTCAGTTAAACAATAGAGGTGGAGGCAAAGACTGGCAAGTAGATGCAGTAAGAAGACGACAAAGCGGCAGTTAAAAGCTGCAGGGGAGAGAAGACGGAACTAAAACACACACACGAGAAAGGCAGATGGAGAACACAAAATGAAAGGCAGGCAAGACTGGAAACCAGCGAGA